AACAATTACTTCATTTACGGGGGACACTCTATTTAAAGTGTTCAATGTTTTCAACATTCGTCCGCCTGCAGAAGTGCAGAAAATTATTGATTTCATCGAGATCATATGTTATGGAATCAAAACGACCAGCACCCGTCAGATAGTCAATCGTTTGGTTCATCGTTTAAGGAATCCATCCATGCTGACGAAAAAGATGTGGATGAATAGTGTATTAATATCATTGTTTTCATAAATTATTGCAATGATGTTCAATAAAAACCATGTTCAGTAATCTGTAATTTCCATTTTATTGATTGATTTTAAAATTATTGCAAATTCTCAAGTTTCAGATTAAGTCCCTTCATTACATTTTTAAAAAGGGGTGCTTTTTACCCAGTTACGGAAAACAATGCATTCTGGAAATGGTAAAAAGTACCCCATGATTTGACGTATAAGCTCTTTACCCATTAGTACATAATGTAGAAAATGCTCGCCATCTAGGGGGCTGGGCTACTTGGGACCGATATGTTTTTGAAATTTAATTAAAAATATCATCATGGATATCCTGAACTGCATTGAAATATACACTATCTGTGAACTATTAATCATCATAGCACTAATATATATATTTTAGTTCAATAAAACATGTTTGAATTTATAAAGTTGTTCTTTTTTAAACCCCACTTAATAAGTCATATTTTCGTATTGTAAACAGCTTAAATGGAACCCGCAAAGCTGCGTCAAAGTGAGCGTCAGCATCAAATTTGAATGAAAATGATAGAAAAATTATAAAATATTGGCATTCTAAAATAAAAATTAAAACAAATTCTCAAAATTTTCAAAATTAATTTTCTCAAAAACAGAAAAAAAAATACCTCCACCAAACTTTCATAGAATTTAGTGGAGGTATCATAGATTAAGACTGCATATCAGGTATAACTAGTTAAGTCCATAGTTTTTGGTAAAAGAAGATGTCATATTGGAAGTTTTTGAATAAAATTTATAAAATTTCGCAAAATTTTTAAAATAATTTTCTCAAGGATAGAAAAAAATAGCTCCACCAAACATTCCCAGAATTTAGTGCAGATATCAAAAATTAAGACTACATACCAGCTTTACCTGGGTAAATCCACAATTTTTGGCATAAGGAAATGTCATACCTATTGGAATTTTTTTGAATAAAATTAACAAAATTTCGCAAAATTTTCAAAATTTATTATCTCAAGAATAGAAAAAAAAATACCTCTACCAAACTTTTCCAGAATTTAGTGCAGGTACCATAGATAAACACTGCATACCAGGTATACTTGGGTAAGTCCACAGTCTTAGGTTTAAGGAGATGTCATATTGTTTACGTTTGGAACCAGTTATGCGAGGTAGGCGATTAGTTGTTCGTATTTGACAGCTTCCTCCCCCCCTTGCGTCCTTTGGCTTGTGCTACCTAGGTCGTAAACATGGATTGTCTTTCGTCAACATGCGCCGTTTATTTTGGTGCAGTACCAGCAGGACCTCTTCCGAGCAGCGGCTTGCCTTTGGTTTCTTTTCTCTTTTGCTCTTTTTTCTAAATCAGTGCTAACATTTGAAAACGGCGCAAAAGCCATTTGTAAACAAATGGTTTGTGAGCCCTTTACTCGCTACCCGAAGAACGCCCACGCAAACCAACAGCATCGTCAGGAAGGGGAAAATTTCCCCTACCCGATGTTGCTGTTGTGTCGCGTGGGTGTACTTCAAGTAGTGAGTAAAGGGCCCACAAACCATTTGTTAACAAATGGCTTTTGTGCCGTTTTCAAATGTTAGCACTGAAATAATAATTTCCTACAGAAATACTTTCGCTTTCCCTTGCCACTCTCATAATGTGAATGACCTGGCAGAGGAGGCCCTCCTCTCGATTAGCGAATTTATAATAATTACGATGTCACGTTCGCAACAATTACTGAAAACTGTTCGAAAACCCAGAAAAATTTTACCGACTTCGATAATCTAAACTTTGTGTTTAGATCCAAAATTTTATAAACTTTGGTGCACAGGAACCATGTTAAATCAGTGCGATTACATTTGCAAACATCACCATTTTAATACCCCTCACGATACAGCGAACTTTCATTTAATGAATATTAATGTCATCTAATGCAATTAATTGACAATTTAAGATTTGGTTTGCTAATCGAGATGAATGTCTATGGGATCGATAAAAATATATTTGTGATCTGAACTAAGCGCAAGCGTGTATGGTACCGCTGTGTATGTACAACCGCTGTAAAAGAAGTGTTTTGAAGTAAGTTCATCCGTTACTATATTTTTCCGCTCTTTTTAATTTGAAACAGCTGCAACCAACGGAGTTAATTTTATCTCTAACCAGAACTGCTCGACGTAAGACGCATTTTACTAGCTGTTTTCTGGAAAAGTGAATAAGTGCTAATTTTCTGTTTGATTTTTAATTTATAGTCAATAGAAAGTCACAGCCGGATAACAAGGTAGGTTTAAATTTGTTATTATGTATTGCGCACTTCCCCCAGTTAGGCTATTTTACTGAAATTATTTTTATGCATTTGCATCCAGTCACCTCGGTACTTTCGGATCACTCCCGAAGCAATAAATAAGTGCTTCGAAGGCTCCGACGTTGAAACGCACTATTATGGCCGTTTCTGCACTTTGAAAAGTCAATCAAATAGTTCAGTTTGGTGAGGAATCCGCAATAAATCTTGGGCAATAGAATCACGGTCATGCATTACATGATATTGTAATTTTGTGAACTTATGATTTTGAACTTAATTTAATAAATGTCTTAATGTTCAAAACCCTTTTAATTCTCAAATTTATAACATAGACCGTTGTATGTGATCTACCCATCGCATGAGGCAAATTTTACTGAAAATCGTCCACTGCTTAAAAAAATTATGCTCAGTGAATACCCCTATATGTATTTGAAGATCTACCAGTTTCTTTCTAGTATAACCGCATACACAGTATCGCGTGTTGATAGATTTGAATTAGAAAGCGCAATCATATATGTAGCACATAATACCCGCGTAGACAATAACCATAAGAGGAGCCCTTTCGGCATATCCAAATCTAATGGGATATCGTGGAACCCAGATATATATTTTTTTAATTGAATACTTATTTAAAACGAAAGTGTAATATTAACATAATGAAATTATACAAATTGATTGGAAATTATCCTGTGAACAGTATCGAGCACTAAAAAAAATAATTTTGGCTCGACCCTTTTCGATTGGCATGAAACTTTGCGCATATGTTCGTGATCAGCCAATGCTGCATTTTTCACTTAAAAATGATTTTTTTTCTAAAGAGCAATTTTTGACTTATCTGACCAAAATGACATCTGAAAAGACATCGTAGGTACATAAAAATTTTTTTCGGAAAAATACACTAACAGAGCAAATAATACGTGCTACAAAATCTTAAAATATTGATTTTTTCAAAACATACCCCTTCGTTTTTTTATATTATTTTTTTTTGTAAAGAAAGCTGAAGTTTCAACTTAAAACTAAGTGAAGGGTGCAGGCTGGTTACTTGTTAAAAAAAAAAAAATTATGCATTTTCATTAAATTTTTAATTTTTGAAATGAAATGATAAAAGAATTCTACACTAAAATGGTGTTCTTCATATCTTCATATGAAAACTTTTTTCCTAAATCTAACCGTTCTCAAGATACACTGGAATAAATAAACAAGTTTTAATTTCATGCTGAAAAAAAAACATAAAACGCTGGTCCACCCCTCCCCTTGATAGTTATATTTAGGTTACAACTTCAGCTATTTCACAAAACAAAAATTTTAATATCGAAGGAAGGTGTTTTGAAAAAAATCAACACCTTAAGATCTCTTAACAAGAATAAACATATTTTTTCATTCCGTGTGTTTTTTTTAACAAAACATATTAAGCCACCTATAGCTTCTTATCAGATGTCATTTTGATCCGATTAGCCGTTTTCAAGTTATGATTTTTATTTTTATTTTAGCCATTTTGGAGTTACATTCCATTTAATTCATAAAAATCTTGAGTGACGCGATTTTGAAGGTTGCCTGCAATAATAAGTTTTTTTTTCGATATTTTAAGGATCAATGGGGTTTAATTGGCTTAAATTTGACAACTTTCTTTTTTTTAAAGAGTTCTGATTTTTTGTCTGCATGTACTTTTTTTTTATATCGGCGAGTTTTGGGGTAGACCACATGGGAGAATTTGGAGATTAATCGATTGCCATGGACTTCAAGTTATGTTTAATGCGGAATGGTGTGATTTTCAAAGTAAACAAGTAGATTTTCTTTAAAGATTAAGGTTTATTGAGGGAAAATGGGGCTTATTTTGAATAACCTCTCCTGTTTTACTTTTTCCATCTTCCAAGCAATTTTGTTTTGTTTTGACTAAATGCATGCAACTGAAATCTACTTACACATTAAAATTGCCATATTTGACATATAAGATGAGACGTAAATAAACATGTCATGTAATATTAAGTGCTCTGAGACTGAAAAGTTCGTTGCTTGACGAAAAGTACGTTTTAGTGATCTATATTTCGCGTCTGTTATGACTCAAATTTATGTCAAAATTGAAGCTCGTATAAGTCGCTCTCAGAGCTCCTAAATTAACATTTTTTCTAGGTCTGTATATAATAGATAACTTTAAGCTGAAAATATAGGAGAATATGGGGTCATGGGGAAACAATATGTCATGGACTTTTTAAATTATTACAATGCCAAATGAATTCATTTATGAATGATCAAATAGATTACTGTCAGTTGAAATAATTTCCGTACGTACCGCTAGATTCGATACAGAGAAGTAAAGTGTGGATTGTGCTAAGTAGGCAGGGAATTCGTTGTAAGCCCTACATGTATTCTTATATTGATGCTGCATTGTTTACATTTCCATTAACAATTAAAAAGTTTTTTCTGAAGAAATGTTAAGTAATAGAGACGTTGCTATACATTTTTAAATTTAAACTTGAATTAACCCCCTCCCATAATAAGGTGACATAATTTATGATCGTTTCCATCATGGACCCAAAGGGTAAGGACCTCCTTTACGTGATTTTTTTTTTGGTTCACCTAGCTGTTTTTTTTAGTATACCTGGTGCACCCGGTACTAGAGCAAAAGACAGCAATTTGTACCAGAACAGGTGTCAAAAGTGACACAGACAGCACAACTGCCAGCAAAAGCGCCAGCAAAAAAAGCGCGGTACCCGCTGCCGTGGCAGTCAGATTGAGGTGTGTCATATACCTTAGCACGTTTCTTTTTGTTTCGCCATTTGAACTCGTGACTTTGGCGTGAGATTTGAACTCGTGACTTTGGCGTGAGAGGCATGGATGCTAAAAAAAAAAAGCGGAACTAGTTAAAATAGTTAATTATCTAATCTAATACTTCATTAGCTCCAGGGCCCTTGAACATCATATATTTGGATTGTCCCCAGGAGGATTGTTCGAAGAACGATTGTACCCAGGAAGATTGTTCGAATAAGGATTGTCCGCAGGAAGATTGTTCAAAGGAGGATTGTCCACAGGAAGTTTGCTCGGGAAAAGGTTGTTCGAAGGATTGTTCGGAGGAGGATTGTCCGCAAGAAGATTGCTCGGGAGAAGATTGTACGAAGGAGAATTGTCCGCAGGAAGATTGTTCGGAGGAGGATTGTTCGAAGGAGGATTATCAGCAGGATTGTCCGCAGGAATATTGTCCGCTACCGACGAGTCGAGGAGAAAGATTATCCGGAGGAAGAGGATTGTCCGCGGGAGGATTGTTTGAAAGAGGATTGTTCGAAGAAGGATTGTCCGCAGGAGAATTGTCCGCAGGAAGATTGTCGACAGGAAGATTGTTTGGAGGAGGATTGTCCGCAGGAAGATTGTTCGAAGGAGGATTGTCCGCAGGAAGATTGTTCAGAAGAAGATTGTTCACAGGACGATTGTCCGCAGGAAGATAGTTCAGAAGAGGATTGTCCGTAGTAGGATTGTCCACAGGAAGATTGTTCGAAAGAGGGTTGTCCGCAGAAGGATTGTTCGAAAGAGGATTGTCCGCACGAAGATTATTTGGAGGAAGAGAATTGTCCGCAGCAGTGATGGAAAAGTTCATCAAAGTTCCCTATGACTCGCGAACTTTTCCCTTGGTGAACTTCGTGACATATCGCGAACTTTTCCAACACTGGTCCGAAGGAAGATTGATCAGAGGAAGATTGTCCACTGGACGATTGTCCGCAGGAAGATAGTTCCAGGAAAGATCTTCAGAGACAATCAATGACGTTCAAGGAAAACGTTAAGGAACGACACTCATCCTGATGCATGTTGCTTCAAAAAAGATATGGCAACACTGTGACGGCATGCGAGCGGAATTGAAAGAATTTTCGGAATAGACAGAAGGATCAAAAGGGATATTCAGGATATACTGAAAAATAGACAAAAAATCGAATAAGGATGTCTGGAGAAAAAAAGTTCTGACTGATGTTCTGGATATATAAGCAGAATTTTATGGATACATTTGATGGGGATACAGGATGCATCCGAATGTATCGTTCCCCCTGGAACATATAAAGAGCTTCAGAGTTCCGGATAATCTTCTTCCTCCACGTACTCCTTGACTCGTCGGTAGCAGACAATTTTCCTTCAAACAATCCTCATGCGGACAATCCTCCTTTGAACAATCTTCCCACGGACAATCATCTGACTGGCGGGATCTGGTCCATTCGGTCCTCGCTACACAAGGATCGTACCTGGGTCAGCCTTGCATGATTTCTAGTTGGACCCCCAACAATTAAGTGATAAAACTGATTCCATTTTGATCAACATCAACAATGACATTAATCCTAGCTCTGAAGTTCAGGTTAGGAAAAAAGTTAGGTTAAAACAAAACGTCAGCTATTGTTGGTAAACAAACCGACAGCATTGTTGACAGCATTCCCCCATGCACTCAAAAATATAACTACCCACAAATCTAAAAAACCTACCACTGCGTGCACTTCCATTCTATTACCGGGAACCATGATTTTTCGATAAATTCCTTCCACGCTATTGGTCCTGACCTTTGGGTCCATGGTTTCCATACTCGATAAACCATACAACCTATCAAATATCAGTTAAGGTGTAGTCGAACAACATTTTTAAAAATTAATCCACCTTCATTTGTTATATAATTTTACTAAGAAAGACAAGGTACTCTCTGGGAGTTTTTTTATGAGGATATAGAAAATTCCATCATCACCTGGAGCTTTCATATTTTGAAACTTTTTAGTTAAAGACCTTACTTCGTCCAAATCAGTCCCCCAGGAATTCCTGGGAGAAAATATTCAGATAATCCCGAGCAACCTGATTCTCAATAGGACTAGTAAGACCCAAACTGAAATTATGGGAACTCTCGAATTGCTTAGCAAGTTTCTGAGATTTTTCCAAATTTGTGATCCAAATTTTACCACCTTCTTTAAGGGCTGGAATAGGCTTTTGAGGTTTTATCAAAATTTTTGTGAGTTTCCAAAAGGGTTTGGAACTCGGGTCTAATTTAGAAACATTATTTTCAAAAGTTTTGTTCCTCAGGGCAGAGAATCGCTTTTTAATTTGTTTCTGCAAGTCCCGCCAGATAACTTTCATGGAAGGATCGCGTGTTCTTTGATATTGTCTGCTACGGACATTTTTAAGACGGATCAAAAGCTGAAGATCGTCATCTATTATAGTTGAATCGAATTTAACCTCGCACTTTGGTACTGAGGCAGCTCTTGCTTCAACTATAGAAGTAGTCAGAGATTCAAGAGCATAATTAATTTCATCTTTGGTTTGCAAAGTTATATTCCATAAATGTTCGATATTGCTCCCAATCAGCTATATGGTAATTGAAAGTAGAGCTGTTGGGATTACAAATTATTTATTGGGATATTTCAAAAGTTACTGGAAGGTGGTCAGAACCAAAGTCAGCATGGGTAACCAATTGACTACAAAGTTGACATGAATCAGTTAAGATCAAATCAATAGTTGAGGGATTTCTTGTTGAAGAAAAGCATGTTGGGCTGTTTGGATATTGAATAGTGTAATAACCTACAGAACAATCATCAAACAGAATATTAACATTGGAATTGCTTTGAGCATTATTCCATGAGCGGTGTTTTGCATTAAAATCACCAATAGTTAAGAATTTAGACCTATGACGGGTAAGTTTCTGAAGGTCACCTTTGAGAAAATTCTTTTGGTTTCAAATGAAGAAAGAATTTTATGTTTGATTCGTCTATGAACAATGATGGCAACGCCACCACAGGGTCCATCAAGACGATAATTTTTATAAATGAAATAATTTGCGTCCTTCTTAACCTTATGGTCAGGTTTAAGGAAAGTTTCAGTTATAACGGCAATATGCACGTTATGAACTCTCAAAAAGTTAAATAGCTCGTCTCCATTATCTTTCAGAGATCGAGCATTCCAATTTAATATATTCAATGCTTTAAAATCCATTACTGAATTTAAAAGTCTTGATAATATTGTTTGCAAATTTTATTCCAGTTTGAATAGCATCAAACATGGAGTTAGATTTAGGCATATCAGAAATCATGTCAAATTAATGATTAATGAAAAAAATCATTTTAGGGGCAGTAATGCTTCCTAAGTCAAAAATGTCAAAATTTCCGTTAGAATTTTGATTTCTACCCATTGCAATAGCAGCATAGGTAGCTCCATTAACTCGCTGAACATTGTTAGCAGTGAGGGGGGTAGGTATAGATGAAAAATTTGAAGCAGGGGTGATATTTGTACCTACGGGTACGAATGTAGAATTTGTTCCTCGCTGACCGTTGTTAACAGCAGAGGAATTTGTACATGGTCGAAAACGTGGAGCGTTTCCTACCTGTCGCTTAGAACGAGTTTTTAAGATCGCTTGCGAGTCTTACATTCCCAAATCTGCAGGACAAAGTGCCACGCCGTCCGAAGTAATGAGCAGAGGCATGACAGCAGCGCTGTTTTATATATTTTCAGATTCAAGCGGAATGATGTACAACCAAATGGTACTAGATTATGACGACTGGGAAAATCGTTTATTTCATGAAAACAAACATAAAATTATCATTTGTACATTTTTCAAATGTTTTTGTGGAAAATTGAAAAAAAAATATATTTCAACCGATTTGTAATGTAATGTCCTATTGCTTGGCGTATTTGGATTTTATTTTCATCTATAAATGACAAAGTTACAAGCGTTCAAAACCTAACACTAATTTACCACACATATTTTTTGATTTGCACCCCAGTATAGTCGACAAAGACGTAGTTCTACGTCTTAAAAAAATGTGCGCATGTTTTCATCAGACTTCAGACATCAGAAATTTACAATGCGGAATTCAGTAAATTTAGACAGTTCAAGCGCAAAGTTTAGTTTACTGAATGTACTGTGAAACAACAACAAAATACTGAATCGATTACCGAACGTTCTGCTGTTCCATATTCGGTAAAAAATTACAGTGAACTTAAAAAAAATCTTAGTGTGCAGACAATCGGCACAGAAAAGCAAATGAAAGTCCACGCCAATGCGCTGGCGATGGAGGCCACCTTTTGAAGCTTTCCCAACATCGTTAAATTTTTTTTTTTTTTTTTTTTTCTTTATTATAGAGATTTTTAGCCTGAGGCTAGTTCATCTCTTAACATCGTTAAAGCCGCTTTCTGTACAAATTCTGGAATTCAAATCGTTTCAATAGCTGATCTGAAAAATTCTATTTTGGCTACAAACTAGACTGACATCTAATATGTGAAGGAGTAAGCCGAGGAGTAAACAGACAAAAAATCGATGAACGTCGCTTCAATTTTGATTTACATTGTATTCCAAAAAATTCCAATATGACATCTCCTTATACCAAAAACTGTGGACGTACCCAGGTATACCTGGTATGCAGTTTTTATCTATGGTACCTGCACTAAATACTGGAAAAGTTTGTTGGAGGTATTTTTTTCTATTCTTGAGAAAATTGATTTTGAAAATTTTGCGACATTTTGATTTTATTCAAAAAATTCTATTATGACATCTCCTTATACAAAAAACTGTAGACTTATTCAAATATACCCGGTTTGCAGTCTTCATCTATGGTACCTGCACTAAATACTGGAAAAGTGTAATGGAGTTATTTTCTTCAATTTTTGAGAAAATTTATTTTGAAAATTTTGCGGAATTCTCTATTGAGATTGCTGGAGTTTAATGCACTAGTGTGCGTGCGCGTATACGTACATCAATGTTTTCATCGGGAAAGGATTTCCCAGGCCAGTGACAATACCTATACCATGGTGGGTATATACATGGTGATACAGCTTTATCACTATATAGGCGAGGAGGCCGCGGGGGGGGGGGGGGAGTGTGGTTTTAGAGCAAATTGTAAACAAACTCGGTCGCTGTCCCATACAAAAATTCAACATGGCTGAATCATGAATTTGACACATTATAACACCTATATATAGTCACCTTGGCCTATACCAACAACAGCGTTTGATAGTAGGCAGCATGTCCCGGGCTCAAATAATTTATTTTGCTGTGCTGGGCCCGCTGTCACGGTATAGACTTATCTGACGTTTATTAAATGCACAAGTATTATTGCAGACCTAAATTATACACGAAGAAAAAATTCTACCCAAAATTTGAGTTCTTTTTACTGAATATTAACTTCAGCCTCTCACTTGTACTCGCTATTGTTGTCAAAAAAGGAACGAGAGATTCAACCCAACGATATAGTTCAGCCCAATAAGTTACTTTTGAGTAAATTGCATATTCTCAAATTTACGTGAATTAAACTTAAATACTACTTAAGAGTAGGTAATTTTTTTGCTGGTGTTAAATGGAAACTACTATATGCGATTTACTCAAATTTGGGTTATTGGGCTGAACCCCGGAATTGAGGGAAAATTACTTAATTTTGGGTAGTTTTTAATCTCCGTGTAAGTATTAGTGCAAGAAAACCTTTGAATTTAACCAAATTTCTGCACTAATACTTGTG